GTAATAATAATTTACGTCAGTTTTTTTTTTTACTATTCTCACCACATCAATTGTAACTGGACCGTGATTTTACAAACTTAATTCTTCTGACTTTAAACGACAAAGAACTCGTGTTCAAATCCTTTGCTGAGTTTAAGGACGGAATTTAGATTACAAAAGGGAGACCTCAATAGCCGCGGCACTTGGAATTATTTTAGGCAGGATTATAGTAAATTAATCTATAAGACTTTTTTTTTTTCCTTTTTATTAGATATATTTTTGTGCGTCAGCAATTCCAAGCGCGGGGCACGCGTACACCCGACTCAATTTTGTTACTCATAAGGATCTCTACCAGCCCTACCCTCAAATTGAAATTCCTTTAGACAGGATTAGAGTAAATTAATCTATGAGACCCTGAGCGTGGTCAAATACATCAGTTGAAAGGGTTTGACTTCCTGAGTCCAAAACTGTAATTAGATCTTAAATCGGTCAATAGATGACGGAGCTATGAACTTAAAGTTTGTACTTGAAAAAGAAAAAACAAGTCAGAGCCATTCTATGAGCCGCGGCTAATAAACCCGAAAAAACATTTTGTGGTTTAGAGTTCTTGAGGCATCACATGAAGTAAGCAAAGTTTGCAACACCACTTTTTTCTATCTGCTTTGTTACGCCACTATTCAAAAAGAAAACAAGCTTTGTTACGAAATTATTTTAATACAGAAAACTTTGTTATAATAGTCTAATTATAGAAAACTAGCTTCGAAACCTAGTCTTATAATACAGAAACGACACCGAAACGCCATCTATCTTGTTCCTCAGTGGCACAGCGGTATGTCTGCGGACTTACAACGCTAGAAACCGGGTTTCGATACCCGTGGTGGGCAGAGCACAGATAGCCCTTGTCTAGCTTTGTGCATAATTAAACAAACAAACAAACCATTCATCTAGAACACTAACTTTGTTACATCACTCTTCAAATAAAAAAAAACAGTTGTGTTACGACATTTTCATAGTAGAAAAATAACCTTTTTATGCCATTATCGGAATATAATCATTTATCAAAAGTAGGATTTCAAACCTCAAAGTATTTTCATATGCTTTAAAAGAAAGGAAACGAAATGCAAATATTTCCAGCTGTTTTATAGATTATCTCTGATAATTTAAAACGTCAGCATTAACGTCATTCTTTTTACCCATAATTCTCTTTGGTGGGTTCTGGAACACAATGCCATAAAAAATATGCGAAAATTAATAATTTTTCCAGCTGTACTTTAGGTATATAAAGAGGTTATTTTCCATTAAAACCTTACATCTTCTCTTGGGGAAAATCGAAATTGTTGGAAAGTCACCAGGGTAAGACTCGTCAATTAAATCTTTAGATGATTGGAAAGTGTATTTTGTTATTTAATTTTCATACAACGAAACCTAAACCAATGAAAATGCTGTACAGTCGCCTTTTTGTTTTTGCCAACAAATGGAAAACAACAAACGGGAAGTTGTATTAATTATTTATTTAAATTACATAATTCTAGATTTCTAGAAACATATTTTTGGTTTGAATATATATATATATTAAATTGTATAAATTTATATTTTTGGTAATGTGGTCGAGCACAGTTTGTAACATAATTTTAAAAAACATTAATATTTAGGTGATTAAATTGTGAAAATAGATAAAGTCCTGTGGTCTATCACGGACCGGTATTTAGTGAGTCGTGGCCCGGCATGGCCAGGTGGTTAAGGCACTCGACTCGCAATCTGAGGGTCGCGGGTTCGAATCCCAGTCACACCAAACATGCTCGTCCTTTCAGCCGTGGGGGCGTTATATTGTGACGGTCAATCCCACTATTCGTTGGTAAAAGAGTAGCCCAAGAATTGGCGGTGGGTAGTGATGACTAGCTGCCTTCCCTCTAGTCTTACACTGCTAAATTAGGGACGGCTAGCGCAGATAGCCCTCGTGTAGCTTTGCGCGAAATTCAAAACAAACAAACAAACAATAGTGAGTCGCATTGTTGAGGTGATGTCCAGTGGCCCTCGCGGTTTCATGAACGTTCTAGAAGTGCATGACGTGTTACTAGTATCACGTGACGTCCGCTGTCGTAACAATAAAAATAAAATAATTTTTCGCATTTTGGGGCCTTGCGTGCATTATAAGAGTGACGGCCCAATTCTACCATTCGTTCTGAAAAAGGTTGGCGGTAGGTGGTGTTAACTAGCTGCTTTCCCACTAATCTACTGCCTCAAAATTAGCACATAGCTTTCGAGTGAAATCCAAAAGATACACACAGAAAGTCTGTGTTTTAAGTGAGCCTAACATGGCCTGGTGGTTAAGGCGCTTGAGACAAAATATGAAATTTGCGCGTTCGAATCTCCGTGGGGGCGTTACAATGTGATAGTCAATCCCACTATTCGTTGTTAAAAGAGTAGTTTAAGAGTAGGCGGTGGGTGGTGTTGACTACCTGCCTTCCCTCTAGCCTATCACTGCCAAATTAGGAACGGCTAGCGCAGATAGCCCTCGTGTAGCTTTGCGCAAAATGCTAAACAAACCAAACTGTTTTAAGCAAGCTTATGGTTTGTTTGTAATTGGGTTTCTAGCATTGTAAGTCCGCAGACATACCGCTGTGCCACTAGGGGGCCAAGCTTATGAACTGTTACCATGGTACGTAGTATCCTTAAGTAACGGCTATTCAGCTATAACTTAGTCATATTACAATATAATCTAGATATCATATTTTATTTTGCAATAAAATATAATAAAAATATAAAATATAAAATAATAAATTTTCTTTACTCGTTCAGAAATGTTATATAGCTCTCAGGTAGGTAAGCAATAAGTTTGAAAGCTATAAAGATCAAATTCGGAGCTCGATCTCTGCCGTGGATTTAGGAAAGATAGCGCCTCGTGTTGCTTTTTCTTTCACAACAAATAATTCATTTTTTAATACACATGAAGAAGGACGTTCTGCTCGAGACGTCGTCCTAAACACGAAACAAACACTGTGACATTTCTAGAACTGCAATATGTTAAGTTGTGTGCTTCCTAAGCTTCATTAATTAACCAAATTTACATCATTTTCAACTAATAACTGCAATTTAGAGCAGTGAAAACTTTTATCACATCAACTACATGATGACAGTAAGTAAACTCCTGAATCAGCCCTTGCGTACTTTATATTTTCCCAATTAACTAAGTTTTTAGTGTATATGTATAACATTTACATTAATACTTCTTATTTCTTTATAGATGAAAGCCTGCTTATTTACGATATGTCTCCTACTTTCTGTGGGCTCAATGAACGGTAAGTTAAGGACGTAGAGATGTTTGAAAACACTTAAGTTATTTTTTGATATGACTTTAAAGATCGTGTTTGCGTTTAGCTTTATTAGCCTAACGTTATGTTCGCATTCTTATAACTTGCGTTTTTAATCTAACGTTTCTAGAAATTTGTACTGTTGTTTAGCCAGAAGGAAGTTTAATGTAAGGTAAAGGGCGTGGCCTTAATGTTGTAAGGTTCGTATTGTTGTAGCCTATGTTTTTAATCTATACATTACTAGAAATTTGTATTGTTATTTAGTCCGAAATCAGTTTAACGCAACTTGATAGGTGTGACCTTAATGTTTTTAACTCTACGTCTACTTGCCTTCTGCATCAGTTCACTTCTTGCTTCATCACTAGGTGGAATTAGCTATCTTCCATTACCAGATATAGTTGTTGAACTAGTGTTGGTCAACATGTTGTAAGGCTTCCCATCAATGCTCCGTTGACTCGTGTATCAATTTCTTTAAATAATTAAATCTTAAAAGGGTAAATTGAGTGTCCTCATATTACCAGATGTAGCTTTTGAATCAGTATTGATCAACATGTTGTAAGGCTTACCAACAACAACTCTGTTGACTCGTGACTATTTCTTTAAATAATTAAATATCAATGGGGTTGATGGAAAGTCCTCACCTGAATTCATTTTTTAAGACCAGCTAACTTCTGCTTTCCTATGAATGGTTAGCTCTATATTGTCCCATTTGATCTCCTTGGTTAATTAGATTATTTCTTACAGCACGGTTGTAACACACGTTCTTTCCACAGTGTTAAGTTTCTTTTTTCTGTTATCTTTTGAGAGTAGTTTTTATTTCTAATAAATTTTTGTCTGTAGTTCCTGGCAATATCTTTTTTTAAGTGTCAATTGAAACATCTGTCCGGAGATTTATTTCTTCCATCATGAATAAACAGAAGTGTCTCTTATAGACCACCATTAAGTAATAACTTCAACCACAAGAGTCGCTAAAAATATGCAATAGCAATCAATAATTTTCATTACAAGTAACATGGAAATTAAAAGGAACCCCACGATATTTGGCTAACAGGGCCATTACTCAACCAATCCAAGAGTATAAAACATCCCAATCTCTTTCATCCATAAGGTTTAATTACTATGACTATGGGCTTCATATTACTTTATGTTGTTATGGTCAGGTAATTAGTGGATTTATTTACCAACTATACTTGCATAAGAGGGAGTTGATGTTTCTACAGTACTGTATTTGATCTGATTATCCCATAATTCTAGAATGGTAGTTTTAATTGTTTATTTGCGACTTTAGTTCCATTGAACGTAGTAGAAAGTTTGTTCTTTAGTTAAGTTGATCATATTATTAAGTGTTTGTTAACAAAGTTTTAGATTAGTAAAAAATAAGCAAATATTATAAAGTAGGTGCGAGATAGCTTACTCTTGAAACTTAAATTGATTTACAATGTATCTTGTTTATGCCACCCAAACCAAAAATAAATTGTATTTAGTTTACCAAGTGTCACTGGGAAACTGATGAAAAGTTTTTGGTAATATATTGTTGCGTCAGCGAGTCACATGACCACTGTGACGCCACGTTTCTAGAACTATCCTGTACTTTGGCGAATGCTCTAGTATT